ATAAATCTTGCTGACTGAGACAATGGTGGGTACTTTTGATGATAACAGGGAAATTAAGAAGAATGGAGAGTTTGGGGGAAAAGATAATGAGTTCAGTTTTGGACATGTTGGGTCTCTAAGAAACATCCAATTGAGATGTCTAATAGCAAGTTGGGGATACAAGAAAGAAGGCAAAGTGAACAGTTAGGAGATAATTGCACTAATCTGAGATGATGCAAATTTGAATTGGGATGAGAAGACAAATCCCATCAAAATTAATCATATTAATTACAAGTTAACTATAACAAGTACTTTTATAACAAGAATTAAAATAACAAGTACTTTTTTGTTTTCTTGATCTTTTTATTTTTCATAAATCTTTTTATTTTTCCAACTTAAAGCTTTTTCTATTTTCTATAATTACATGTAGAGTTTCCAATATTCATTTTTATAAGATTTTGATTTCCACATTTTCCCCTTTCCACTCCTTCCCCCTTCCTCTCTGGTTTGGCTCTTCCTGGTGTAGGCATCAGCACCACATTTTTGTCATAAAAGGAATTTGGAAGGACTCCTTCTTCATCTATTTTTCCAAATGGCTTATACAGTATTGGAGTCAACTATTCTTTAGGTGTTTTGCAGAACTCACTTGTAAATCCATCTAGCCTTGGAGATTTTTTCTTAGGGAGTTCATTGATGATTTGTTCAATTTCTTTTTCTAAAAGAGGATTATAAAATTAAGTATTTTATTTCCTCTTCCGTTAATCTGGGCAATTTAAAGTTTTATAAACATCCATTTTCATTTAGATTGTCAGATTTATTGGCATACAGTTGGGCAAAAGAGCTCCTAATGATTGCTTTAATTTTCACTTCACACCCTTTTCATTTTTGACACCAGTAATTTGGTTTTCTTCTTTCTTTTACTCAAATTAACCAGAGGTTTATCTATTTTATTGGTATTTTTTTTCATGAGCCAGTTCTTACTTTTATTTATTAGTTCAATAATTTCCTTACTTTCAATTTTATTAACCTCTCCTTTGATTTTCAAAATTTCTAATTTGGTATTTAATTGGGGATCTTTAATATGTTCTTTTTCTAACTTTTTTAGTTGCATGCCCAATTCATTAATCTGCTCTTTCTCTACTTAATTTATGTAAGCATTTAGAGATATAAAATTTCCCCTAAGAACTGCTTTGACCACATCCCAGAAATGTTGTTACGTTGTCTCATTATTATTTTTCTTTGATGAAATTATTATTCTTATGATTTTGTGTGACCTAGTCATTCATTAGAATTATTTAGTTTCCAATTAATTTTTAGTCTATCTTTCCTTAGTTCTTTATTACCCATAATTTTTATTGCATCATGATCTGAAAAGGATGCATTCAATGTTTCTTTCTACATTTGATTGTGAAATTTTTATGCTCTAATACACGGTCAATTTTTGTGTAGGTGCCATGTACCACTGAGTAAAACATACATTCCTTTCTATCCACAATTAAATTGTCTCCACAGGTCTATTATCTCTAATTTTTCTAAAATTCTATTCACCTCCTTAACTTCTTTCTTGTCTATTTTGTGGTGAGATTTAACTACTTTTGAGAGGGGAAGGTTGAGGTTCCCCACCAGTATAGTTTTGCTGTCTATTTCTTCCTATAACTCATTTAGCTTCTCCTTTAAGAATGTGAATGCTATATGACTTGATGAATATATGTTTAGTACTGATATTACTTCATTGTTTATGGTACCTCTTAGCAAGATGTAGTTTCCTTCCTTATCCTCTTTTAATTAGATCTATTTTTGCTTTTCTTCTGAGATCAGGATTGCTATCCCTACTTTTTTTTCCTTCTTTTTCTTACTTCAACGGACACATAATATACTCTGCTCCAGTCTTTATTCTGTGTCTATCTCTATGCTTCAAATGTGTTTCTTGTAAACAACACATTGTAGGATTATGGTTTTTAATCCACTCTGCTGTTCACTTTCATTTTATGGAAGAGTTTATTCCATTCACAGTTATGATTGCTAATTGTGTATTTCCCACTGTCCTATTCTTCCCTATTTACACTTTCTCTCCTTTCACCTTGACTCCTCACTAGTATTTTACTTCTGACCACTGCCTCCCTCAATCTGCCCCCTCTACTATCAGCCCTCCTTCCCTTTTCTTTCCCTTTTCCCCTCCTACTTCTGCCCCTCACCTGCTTCTATCAGCTCCACTCCTACTTTTCTTTTCCCTTTCCCCTTCGACTTCCCTAGAGGGTAAGATAAATTCTGATACCCTGAGTTCCATCTTTGAGTCAAACCCTACGAGAGTATGGTTCAAAGGCTCATACCCTCCCTTCTTTCCCTACAGTATAATAGTGTAGGGAAGGCTGAATTTTCTGTTCAGTTCTGGCATTTTCCTCAGGATAGTTTGAAATTCTCCCATTTCATTGAATATCCATCTTTTCCCCTGAAAAACACTGCTCAATTTTGCTGGGAAGTTGATTCCTGGTTGTAATCCAACCTCCTTTGCCTTCCAGAATATCATATTCCAAGCCCTCTGATAATTTCATGTAGAAGCTGCTAAGTCCTACGTAATCCCAACTGCGGATCCTTGATATTTGAATTGTTTCTTTCTGGCTGTTTGAAGTATTTTCTCCTTGACTTGATAATTCTGAAATTTGGCTACAATATTCCTTGGAGGTTTCATTTTGGGATCTCTTTCAGGAGGTGATCAGAGGATTCTTTCAATGACTATTTTATCCTCTAGTTCTAGGATAACAAGACAGTTTTCCTTGATACTTTCTTAAAACATACTGTTCAGGCTTTTTTTTTTTTATCATAGCTTTCAAGCAATAAAATTATCTCTCCTGGATCTATTTTCCAGGTCAGTTGTTTTTTCCAATTAGGTATTTTACGTTTTTTTGCTATGTTTTTCAGTATTTTGATTTTGTTGGACTGATTCTTGATGTCTGAGTCATTAGCTTCCACTTGTCCAATTCTAATTTTTAAGGAATTATTTTCTTCGGTTAGCTTTTGTACCCCCATTTCCATTTGGTCAATTCTACTTTTGAAGGAGTTGTTTTCTTCAATGGATTTTTTCTTTCATTTGGCCAATGTATTTTTTAAGAAACTGTTTTCTTCAGTCAATTTTTGTCCTCTTCCCAGGCTGTTGACTCTCTTTTGCATAACTCTCATTCCTTTCTCCATTTTTCTTCTACCTTTCTTATTTGACTTTTAAAATCCTTTTTGAGCTCTTCTAAGAAGGCTTTTAGGTTTGAAACCAATTCATATTCCCCTCTGAGGCTTTGTAGGTAGGCATTTTTATACTGTTGTCCTCTTCCAAGTTTTTGTTTTGATCTTCCCTGTCACCATAGTAGTTTTCTATGTTCGTGGCTCTTTTCTGGTTTTTGCTCGTTTTTGTTCTTGGGGTACTGGGGGCACTGTCCCAATCTTTCTGCACTGGAGGCCAGGGGCCTTTCACTGGCCTTCTGTACCAGGACCTCTAATGCTAGCAGCTTGTCCACTGCACTGGGGTGGTATGGCCTAATCACAGCTATTGTTCTGGGGCTGGCAGTTTTGCCTTCTGTGCTGGGGCTAGAGGCTTCAGAGCTGGCCTACTGTGCCACTGGCCTGCTAAACCAGGACTGAGGGGCCTTGGTTGCTGATATGTGATATGGCTAAAACACTCTCTTTGGCTTGCCCAAACACCTTCTGCACTGGACTTTGCTCCCCTTTTACCAAGTAAGATAGAACTTTCCTGAAATCCTTCTAAGTTATCCTAAGCTAGAAAATTGTTTCACTACATCTTTTTGTGAGTTTAGAGGCTTTATTTAATATTTGTTTTTGTTTATTTGTTTGTTTGTTTTTCCCTGAGGGAAACTGGGGAGAGCTCAAGCAACTTCCTGGCTTCTGTCCACCATGTTGGCTCCACCCCCCTCAACAAGTACTTTTCAATATAACTTTTTTTCATATAGCCATAGCTTATAACTCAACAAACTATAGCTTTAATATTACCATCTAATATGAGGGAATTAGTTTGTGATGAATTGCAATGTATAAAAAAATGAGATTATAATGCTTAATTATAATGGCAAAGTTAATAAAAATTCCATTTATAAAAACAATAGTATGGCATTCATTACATTATATGCATAGTTAAAATATAACTATGTTTATTTTGAATGCTGAAAAGTATATGAATAAATGTAGAAAATTCAAAGCACTCACTTGATCACTGATACAGAGTTGTCAGTTGGCCTTTTCCCGTATGGTGCAATGACACTAACAAAAACCGCAAAAGTGACTAGTAGATGCACAGGTATAAATACTAAAGGCTAAAGAAATTCTGGGTACAAATTTTTATTTGGCTCATATCTGACCGTGTTAGTATAGTGGAAAACGATGACCCTGGGACAAGGAGGACCTCAGTTCAAATACTGCCTATGATACTAGCTGTCTGAGTAAGGACAATTCACTAAGTCTCTTTATGCCTCATTTTCCTCTAATTCAAAATGAGGATAATGCTTGCAGTATCTATATCACAAATTTGTCATGACTTTCAAATGAGATAATGCATGTGAAGTTCTTTACAAACTTTAAGGAAATTATTATTTTTATTATTATGGAACAGTCATAGATAAGTAGGAGTTTCTTATTCATGACAACTACATTTATAAAGTGTGCCTGTATTACTATGAAACACAGATGAAAAGTGCCATGGGTATGGATAATAAGTCATTAAATCAATCTGCAATCCTGGGAAACACTGGTGAGTTACTATACTTTTACATGTAATGTTGGACCTCCATGACTGGGAAGGAGATAAAATATCCTCATGGTAACCTTCGTTTAATAACTATGATTATTTGACTATAAAATGATAGAAAGTGAGTTTCCTGACCATTAGTCAAATCTCTCTCTTAAATACAGAAATAAACCATAGTAATTATGATGGCTTAACAATTTCAAAAGCCAAAAATGATAGCTGAATAGACACAAAATAATTATTCAGACTAATAAAATTTTATAAGTAGTCTTACCTGGATCCACTTATCTGGAATTGCCATGGCTAATCGATAATCAAAGCCTCCTCCACCCTGTGTAATAGGACAGCACAAAGCTGGCATTCCTGAAACATCCTAAAAGAAGATAAAATAAAAACCATAGATTTTACATATCATATAACAATTCTGACCTAACACTCCATTATCAAACATTAAAGAAAAATGAGATTTAATAACTGCCATTCAATTTTTCTGGAAAATTTCTCTCAAAATCGATAAATCACCAGCGTAGAGAATTGAAAAGCGATGTGACTATGTTACTATGGTAAATCTTCCAAGGAGAGTCTTCCTCTTTACCTCTGGCCCACTTCAGACTCCTACTACCACACATACAACACAGATAATGACAGTGTTTTCCAAAGTAAGTTAAAAATGTAAGGTAATATTATGAATTCAATTCATTTTAAAAGATATTTGTTTAGTGCCTACTATATTTAAAAATAGTTTTGTGATTATGGATAGCAAATATATATATGTATATATATCTATATAGATATAGATATACATATAGATATAGACTCTGTACTTAAAAGTATGTCTATACTTCCAGGGAACTTAAAATTGTTAAGGGGTCCCCTGAACTTTTCTTTGAGTTGCCATATTTTCCAGAAAACACTGGCCCCAGAGTATTCAAGAGTCCCTAAATGTGTCAAGGATGAAGTCCCCTCCACCCTACCTCCCACCCAGAGCTGATGTAATTTGTTATTTGCACCCTCAACTGGACTCCCTGTCTGTCCTTGGGAATCAAGACAGGTGTCAGTCAATCTTCACCAGACTGAGAAACTGCACATCTGGGACCTAAATACATACACATACACACAGACACACAGACACACACCCCAAAATAAAATAAAATAAAATAAAGATTATATGAAAAAGGAGGGAGTATTGTTTCATCGTGACAAATACTTCAGAGAACTTAAGAAGGGTGAAGCCAGAAAAAAGGCCACTGAACTCAGCAAAAAAAGGAGGTCATTAGTGACTTTTGAGGGAGCTGATTCAGTAAAGTTGTCAGGACAGAAGCCAACATGAAAAGGGGCATTGCAATAGGAGTCAGGATAACTAAATTTAAATCTTGTCTGACACACTTAATAACTAGTGGTCATAAGGAAGTCATTTAGTCTCTCTGAGGATCATGTCCCCATTTTACAAATGAAGACTACATTTGTACTCTCTCCCAGACCTGTTGTGAGGAAAGTGATTTGTAAAATTAAAGTAAATAAATACAAGGCAAATACAAGACAATTCATGGGAAAAGATGGCACTGGGATCTGAGAAAAGCAAATAGTGATTATGTATTTGATTTCACTCTGTAATTGATTTTGTCCTGTAACTATCTAAAACATGGTTCTTTGTTTCTGAATTTAGTTCAAAAACTCGGCTGGCTAGTAATGAGCTAAGTTTCGAAATCCAGTGCTTTTGCTAATCATTGTTCTATTCTTGCCTCAAGGACAACTGCTATATTTGAGGGATTTGGGTGGACACCAGGGAGTCTAGTCTGATATCTTAACACCACCAAGCTATCTTTCTAGGATGTATGGTTTGCTATCCAAAGAAGTCTAGTTCGCTAACTTTGTAGGTGGACTCCAACAATGAACATTAGTCACAGGAGGGAAGGAGGGGACTGTTGCTAGCTCCTCATTCCTAACTTCTAACCAATCATATAACAATATGATTGTGATCATATGTACACACATAGATAGCCTCAACTATGCAACCAATCATGTTGTCCTCAACCCTATGATGTCGCCAATACAACTGTATTATTTTCTCATCTACCCCGTTCTGTTCTTTGTTCTGTATTTCCCTAAAACTATAAGAGGGCTGTCCTACTCAGGGTCTTTTCGTTTATCTGGTTCAAACCCTGTTAGCAAACTGTTGTCTTGCGCATAGAACACATGCCTTAGTCTACCTTTGTTGAATTTCACTAAAAACAGAGTCTTGAAAGAAACCAAGGATTTTAAGAGGTGGAGTTGAAAAGGGAGGGCACTTCATGCATATGGAACAGCACAGTACAAAAACACTGAAAACAGAGATAAGAGTATTATGAGTGAGGAACAGTAAGAAGCCTATATGGCTACACTATGGATTCTATGAGAGTAATATATAATAATCCTAGAAAGATTAATTTGAAACTAAGCTGTGAAGAGCTTTGAATGCTGAAAACAAAAGTTTTTACTTTATTCTAGAGGTAACAGAGAGAGCTATAAGATTTTATTGAGCAAAAAAATAATATGGTCAGACCTGTGTTTTATGAAAAATTGCTTTGGCAATTATATGGAGGATGGACTATAATGAGGAAAGAATTGAGGCATGGATATTAAATAGGGGACTACTGTAAGAATTCAAGTAAGAAGTGGTAAGTGCCTGAAACAGGGACATGGAGGACCATCATTCAAAAGATGAGGAAATAATAATGACAATATTTGGCAATTGATGAATATATGGGGTGAGAATGAGGCAAGAAGAATTAGGAAACAGATTTAGAATCTAAATCTTCGTAACAAAGGAGCTCATATGAGATACAAATACACTCAACAAAACAGAAGTTCACTACCTCAACAATCTTTGACAATCAGAGGTGTTAGAAGGGGTACAATATATAATGAGCCAAGAAAGCTGTATTTAGCTTTTGTCTGATTCTACTTTAAATCCCACATTCAATTTATTTTTTTTTTCCAATATGGATCTATGATTTCATTGGTATAGAGAACTCCCACTGAAGACTGTCAATTGTTCTGCAATTTTCAGTCTCAGAGAAGCCTCCCAGGGCACTGAGAATAAGTAGCCAGGATCACACAGTCAGTGTGTATAAGAGACAGGAACTGAAGCATAACCACAAGGACCTGATCTATGTCTACTACTACATACTTTTAATCAAACTAGATGTTAAAATTATGGAAATAGTAGTCATATTCTAACTGCTTCCCTCTTGTTACTATAATCAGATTCAAATTCATATTATAATTTAAATGATAACAATTGTTTCTGTAAGCCTAAACTACTTTCTTTTGGAACCTTGCTTATGTGGATCAATTCTACATTTTGAATACAGACTCCCACTAGAGAGAAAAGTGATATATTGAAATTGAAGTAGTTTTCTATTTAAGTAGAAGAAAACTGAAGGCACAACTTAATTAAAAAAAAAATTTAAACAACTTAATACAAAATACACTAAACTCTCCAAGTTTCATTGGTGGAAACACTGATAATCAGACTATAAGTTCCTAGATGATGAACCTGTTTTACTCAGAATGAAGAGAACAATCAACAGAACAATTTTAGGTTTCATGTATCAAATAATTGTTTCTTTTTTATCAGAATCGATTATCTGATACTTGGTGTCATTAATTGTTTGTTACATATCTCTTAGCTATGTTGTGAAGTGCCATCTGTATCACTGATTATTTTTTCTGACAGCTGAAATGAAATCTTTTGATAGAAACAATATATAATTATATAAAATATATTATAGAAATTTTGTTACTACTTCAATTTAATTTAAATTTTATTAATGTACACTTAATAAAAAGTGCACATAAGTTATGATATGCAATCCTTTTGTTTTTTTAACTTATATAGTGAAATGTTTATATTTTTTTATATTTAAGGAATTAATTAAAATCAAATAAAAAAGTAAAATATTTGTATTATAAATAATTACTATAATTCTAAGTACTGATAAAGCATATGTATGAAATAAAACATTGTAAAGGGGGCTAGAAGCAATATGAGTGCAAAGGTCCATCAGTTAAATACTCTCTTTTCAGACTTTGCCAGGATTATCAATGGGGGAAGGACGCATAACTAGCACAGCCCCTGTATCCTCTGTGATTTTAAGACTTCAGCTAAATTAAAAAGTAACTCTCTCACACCAAGAAAGCTTGAGGATTCAATAGAAAGACTTAGCTTCTATTAACTGGCTATTTATTTACTGCCAAGTTACATTAATTCTTTGTGATTCAGTTTCCCTTCCTACCAAATGGGAGTAATAATACTCCTTCCTTACTTTAATCACCTCATAACTTTTGTTTAGGGCAAAATTAGTAATAACCATGAAAATCTGTATGATCATACAAGTATTAATAATGTTACTGTTTGCTACTGGTTGAGAAAAGTTCAATAAAATATAAGTTTATATTATTGAAATGCAAATGTCTACTGTATATGAGAGCACTGTGCTAAGTTTTTGGAGCTAATATAAAATTAAGATAAGATAAGGTCTCTCTTCATGGATCATACAGTTCAGGAAAAGCAGAACATACATAAATATTTATCTAATACAAGATAATAAAACAAAGTAAATCATAAAATGAATCTCACAAGAATGAACATAGACATTTTATTATGCTTAAAAAATCCTAATATGTAAATACTTCTATATATATTCTTTATTATATAATGTAAATGAGTCTGCTAAGTTTCTACTAAATTTCTAATTTTCTTAAGCCTATGTTCAGCTTTGAAATAAATTTCTCCTCTTATAATTGCTTTTCTCTACCATCCTGAGAACACTGCAGAAAAGTAAAAGTTGGTAACATTGGAACTATGGCCACAAGTCGGGGTGGGCAAGTAACTCTTATGTTACACCTAATGTTTATGGAATTAAAAGTACTCTTCTCTCAACATATATACATATTCCATTCTAAAAATGCCCAATTTTTTTTAAAGCTGAGTAATGTAGAAATTATATTAAAAAGACACGTAAGAGGTCCTAGTAATTGAGGATAAAAGTTACTGGAAAAAGGTCCTTCAAAATGAATTAACTTAAAAAGGTGACTGACATTTCACAGTAAATAGTGACAGAGAGGTGTGACTGGGACTTTATTTAACATTTAACAAAATGTCAATCACAATTGTAACTATGCATTAATTCTTAGGATGAACAAAGAATGAATCAAGTGGGGGGACAGGAGGTATACTTAACTGTTCCAACAAAAACTGAATGACAACATGATTATGACATCATTCACTTTATGCCTGATTTTCACAATAGTAGCACAAAGAAAGTCACTGTTGCAAAAATATGTTAAGTCTTCAGAAAATTTCCCTAGGACCTTTCTTAATCTTTTGATATTCAAATCATTCTCTTCTGAAGTACCCATAAACAATCAGGGGGAGCCCATTGATAACTAGAACAAAGATAGAACACAGATACTGAGGCAAATAGGCTAACGGAGAGAATGCTTTAGTGGGGACCAATTTTGTAAGTGGCCAGCTCATTAATGAATATTTTCATAGCAAGAAAACCTTTGATTCCCTATACAACCTCATAAGGAGGCTGAGATATGTAGTGGACAGAGAACTTTCTAAGACTAAGATGCAGAAGAGATGTTGCTATGCATTGGGAGAGGGTATTTCCTCACCAGGAGTTGCCACATCAATGAATTCCCAGGCTCAGAACTACCCTATAACTTAATACTTGGATTGTAATGGCTTCCTATACAGAGCAGTTGCATCTGAAATGAGAATTAGGTTATAAAGTTGGCATGAGAAGCAAAAATTACATATAATCAAAATTACTCCTGAATACACCTTTAAAAACTTGCTCATAAAGTATATTTAAACAATTAAAAATGGAAAGTGACTAGGGTCACTTTTAAAAAAGGCAGTCTGTAACAGAGAGCTGAGATGGTCTGAGACGGTTTGTATGGAAACAGCTGAATTATCATTTTTTCGTTTGCACAACATTCAGGGAAGCTATTGTTCAGGAATCAACCAATCAAAAGTGATAATGCAATCTTGGCTGAATTAAGATACGTCCTTTTCTAGAATATCATATTTAGTTCTAGATATCCTGGTTTATTGGCCAGTAATAAGCTGGTGACCATACAAAGGCAAGCTACTAGTACAGTCTAGTCAATGTCATATGAGAATTAGTTAAAGGAACTGGGGATGTTTAGCCTGGAGAACTGAAGACTTAGAGGAAATAGAAAACTTAAAGGAATAAGGAAACTCAGAGACAGCTGTGTTCTAGCATGTGAAAGACTATCATCTAGAAGACGGATGAGACTGTTTTTTGTGGCCCCAGTACAAATATTAAGGATTAAGAGTAAAAGTTGCACAGGCAAATTTAGACTAAGGAATGTCTAGAAAAACTTCATAACCATTAGAAATGTCCAAATGTAGAATGAGAGGTGGTAGGCTGGCCCTCCTTAGAGGTCTTCAAGAAGAGGCTGAATGATCACTTCTCAAGTTAAACACTCAGCTAGGTACCACAGAGATAGAGGGCCAGGCCTAGAATCAGCAGGACCTAAGTTCAAAAATGACTTCAGATGCTAACTAGCTGTGTGACCCTGGGCAAGTCACTTGAGCTGTTTGCCTCAGTTTCTTCATCTGTAAAATGGGGATAATAATAGCACCTACCTCCTAGTGTTGTTGTGAGGATCACATGAGATAATAAAGCACTTAGCACAGTGTCTGGCACATAATAAGGGCTATATAAATGTTAGTTGTTATTGTTATTATTATTATTTTTATTGTTATTATTATTGTTAGGCCCACAATACTCACACTGTTTCTGAACCAAAATAAAATGCAATTTGTAAATATTTAATAAAACAAAAAGACATTAAAATATGAATAACATTTTAAAACAGATTAGTTGTCCTCCTTTCTATCTGAGTTTAATACTACTGCTATAGTGTATGGATTGGTCTAGGTGACCACATTGATTCCTTCCAGCTCTCAAATTTGTGACGCTATGAATCAGTGAATAAACATTTATTAAATACCTATATGCCAGAAATGGTGTTGTGTACTGGGGAGATAATGACAACAGACCTTGAGAAGTATACAGTCTCTCTAAGGGAAACAATATGTACATATATATGTATAAAAACAGATACAAGATAATACTGGAGAAAAAAGCAATAGCACCTAAGTGGATCAGGAAAGGCTTCATGCAGAAAGTGATGCATGAGCTGAATTATGACAAAGGAAATTAGGTATTACTCTAAGAGGCCAAAGTGAAAAGTAAATTTCACATACAGCGGACAGTTAGTACAAAGAGTATGACTCCCATCCTCTTCACAGGATGCTATGTATGAGAAAGAGTAATTAGGTTACATGTGGAAAAGAGAGTAATAAGAAATGAGATAGGAAAAATTATATTGAGAGGGCATTAAATGCAAAACAGAGGAGTTAATATTTGATCCTAGAGGTAAAAGGGAACCACTGGAGTTTATTACTGAGTTTGACATGATCAGAAAGAGCCATAAATTTGATTCAATATGGTAAGCATATGCTATAAATGAGACCACATGGAATAGACTGAATTGTTTCTAAGCCAGGAAGACCTAAATTCCAAGTCTTGTCACTAACATATACTATGAAACTTTACTTCTCAAAGTTGTAGGCAATTTTCTAAGAGTATAAGTTGCCAAGAAGGTGTCAAGCTATGTTGGCAGAGGATTTTTCCATATTTGGAAATTCCCAAAACCAAAGAAATAATAGATCCAATTACCATTCTAATCCTCAAAGAATGCCCTGTAATCTACAATAATGGTAAAATCTAATTTCATTAATATATATTTTGACAACATTACACTATTCATATGTTGAATAATTTAAAAAGTAACTCCAAAGTTACTTGTGGTAACTTTGGTAAAGAAAGCAAAGACTATTTTGTTTTACCTCAGCTATTGTTATACAATCTGGAAATATCAAATGAACCAAGTGGTTTGCCAGCATAAGATAAACCAGAGAATCTTCATCTACTTGTAGTCCAAAATATTCACTGTAATCACCTGAAAAGCCTTGACCTAGAAAAAGAAAAACAATTAGAGACTGGCATGTTAACATGTATATAGCTTTTTAAGTCAATATAAAACTATCTCTTAACATTAATTAATTAACATCCACCTAGAGTGTAGAATGTAAAAATGGGCCTCAAAACTGTTATCCTACCAATAACGTTAGATTTATTTGCCTTTAAAAATGGCTCACTTCAGAGAGGTGTTCAGACCTATAACATAGGAGATCCTCCAACCTAACTTTGAACTTATTTTTACTAGTTCCTTTTGTTTTTTTTAAATAAGTATTAGCACTCATCTTTGTATACTGGGCCCTGAAAGGAATAGTCAGAAAAATACTTTCACAATTCTATTCTTGTGTTTTATTATAACTGTAATTATGACTTTAACAGAGTGTCATTTTTAGCAGCTATTTTAATTTTGAGATTGTTTCAGTAAGCAACAATAATCCTTAAATTCATTTTTTGATTTTTCCATTATAGAAACATTAAAACATAGACAGTAGTGTTATTTCAAAAAAAATTTTTTTTTTAAAATCATCAAGTAATTGGTTTTTAAGTGTATGATCAGTTCATTTACCCATTCCATGATGGTGATAAAGCATGGATGTTACACCATCAAAACGGAATCCATCAAAGCCATATTCTTCTAGCCACCATCTCAAGTTAGAAAGAAGGAATCTTAAAACTTCCCAGCTGAAATATTAATAGGAACACTTGGTTACTTCAATTAAAGTGAAACAATTTGTATGTAGCTTTTAAGAACACATGTTTTGAAAGGAATTGTTAAAACTAAGATTTCAAGTATCAATCATTCTACAAACAAGTATCTATAGAAAAAAGTAGTTAAATGTGGTCAGACATATTGCTCACAGGATCTTTTTTAAGAAAAAGAAAACCTATTAAATTTTTTGATTCTACTGGCAGAACATGCGTTAGGATAAAAATGTAAAGAGTTCATTCAAAAACTATGTGAAAAACTGAAGTTCTTAGGGTTCTTTATTCATTCTCAACCAGTTTTTTAATGTCTCATTGCCATCAATGTTTTCTGATTGTTTTGTATATAGGAAATGTACCAAAATGTTATTCTGTCTTAATATTAAAAAAAAAAACTAGAATAGATAATACCCATGTGTTACAATTCAAAACAGATAAAAATTTCAGAATTCAAGAGAAAAATACTAAAAATATTTAAAATCAACTATACAATAAAGTTATATTCACTAGTTTATGCTATATGGTGAATCAAAATGAGGCGAAAGGCTAATTATCAAGAAACATGTGTTTAGCAGAGTAGAAAGTTCTACAAATTAAGAGTTTTGCATCTTTTTTTTTTTTTTAAATACCAAGAGGGAACAAAGAATAGTACAACTCAATTAACAGCACCACATGAAACAATTCTATTTCGGACAACTGAAAGGAGGGCACTATAAATTAGCATTTTATTTAGTCATACAGTTATGGTTGAGTTGTCTATCTTATTATAACTGGGGTTTTAAGGCATTAATACCTCATTTAGTTTAATGACAAAGCTATAATAATGGATACAAATCTTGACCAAGTTGAAATTTATGTATTTTTAAAACCCTTCACATAGTACCACGCCATCAAATGTTAGCTGAGATTCAGTTATCACAGTCAATTTAGAACTTGTAAATCTGGACTTTTTTGAGGGTACAAGGAAGTGGATATTAATTAAATGTTTTAAGTAAGTTACTTTGGAATCTGACAACTTATTAAAAGTGGAAAAAAAGAGAAAATGTAAGAAATTAAGTTAATGTTTAAGTGTGTAATAGGTTTGTGGATCATTATGCCAAATACAGATAAGGTAAATATTTGACCTTGCTATTACAGTTCACTCACTATTTTAACAGAGAAATCAAAAAGCAATTCATCAGTTTTTTGTTGTTATTGTTGTTTTTTTAACCGAAGACTTAAGATCATAAATTTATAACATTTAAATCTTGAAGAGAACTCAGAGACTATCTAGTCCAATGCTCTCAATCTCAAAAATGGGGAAACTGGCATCAGGCAGGGGAAGTCAATCCAGGTCCTCTAACAGTAGTTTATTTTACACACTGTCATGGTTTCATCTGGATTAAACAGAACTACAATTTTTCCACCCAATGCATGAATTTCTACTATTTCCTATCAAACTTGGTATAAGTCTATCAGAAATCATGCTGACTATCTCGAGGAGGGTGAGATATGATATAAGGTAAACAGTAAAGCGAAGGTAGAAATAAACTCTTAGGATAAGAAGATATCTTTATGATGTTTTGGAAGTGATGAGAAAACTGGTGATCGGTTTGTACTGCACTGACAATCCAGTTTTTAGAAAGTTTGGCATAAAACAAAGGAATTCCATGTTTGGAAAGAAAGTGACTTAGATGTTTTTAGTTTAACTCAATCACAAGAGATGTGGAAGATTCTACATCTAGTTTTAAGAAAGCTTTAGAAATTCAGAACTATCCTTAATACTACAATTTAGATTAGCCTTTATCTCATAATATTATTATTATTTCTGAGTTTGAAGTATTAAAGGAAAGAAGTAAAATGCTAGTAGCTATCGGTATCCCAAATAGATCCTTGGCCCTTAAAAAGTGGGAGGATTCTGATGCAAAAAATGAGTGATTACCTTAAGCAAGTTTGGAACCTTGTTAAGAGACAGAGCATCACTGTTTACATTTCTAACACCTAAATTCAGGGGAAGTACATTCTAGCAAAGAGCTTAACTGAAAAAAAAATGTTTAGAATATGAGTGGTAAGTACTTCTCTCTTTTCAACAAGGAACCGCCTGAATGACTTATGCTTTTTATATCCAAATGAATGAAATATAGTAATAATAATTGAATTTATATAATTTAAGGTTCTCATAAGCTCTCTAAGGTAGTCACTACATATATTTAAAATTATTTTTAACTGAAATATATGATACATATGCACAAAAAACATTCATCTATTAGGAAGCAAGCTAAGGGACCTGACCATATTTAGTGGCTGAAGTAGCATACGAATCTAAATCTGAGCCTCTAGGTTCAACACTCTATCCAGACCCTACCGTAAATAGCGACTAATTTCAGCTACCAAAATCTTTCAGTTTTGATTATATATTTGTCTAATGTTATTTTTAAATAAAGATACATCTGTGATCAAAAAAAGAAACTAATTTAGAAGGGGGAAAATGGCATTAGTTCTATGGAGACTAGTCTAAGAGTACTCTATTTTGAATGTCACAGTAGCTTAAGTCCAAAATTTTTACATTTTTGTTTCTCTTCAGCTATAAATTTTAGTTTTTCAAAAAAAAAATGGTAAGAAAATATTCTGATAAGAATAAATACTACATATAATTAGAAACATTAAATGGTATTTTATTCAATAAATCTTTGTGATTCCCTCTGCTTTTATATCAGCTTATTGAAAGTGATGTCTGCAATAAAATACAAAAAAAAAAATCAGAGTTGTTTTATGTAATTTACTTTTTTGAGTTGAAAAGGAAACACACACTAATCATAAAAATAAAGCAGAAAAGTATACTTCGAAAGAAAAATAATTAAGAAAATCAATAGGAGACGGCAGATCCAAGATTGCAGAGAAAAGCCAGGAAGTTGTATCTCCCCAGTTTCCCTTGAAAGTATCTTTAAATCAAGCCTCTAAATAGATTCGGGAGTGAAAGAACTCATGAAAAGACAGCGTGAAACAACTTTCTGGCTTAAGATAACATAGAAGTACTTCAGGAAAGGTCTTTCTCGCTATCTCTGCTTGCCCAGCAGAGAAGATGGCAAGTCAGCCAGAGGCTCTCAGCCACAGCACAAATCAGAAACCAAGGCCCCTCTATCCTGGCACAGCAGGACAGCTGTGAGGCCTCTAGCCCCAGCAAAGAAGGCAAACTGCCAGCCCTGTAACTACAGCACAACAGGCACGATTAAGCCACGCCACCGCAGTGCACTGGGTAAGCCACCAACACCTCAGGCCCTGGCACAGGAAGCCAGTGACTAGGCTCCTGACCCCAGATGAAAAGAATCTTGAGACAGTGCCCCCAGCACCTCAGGAGCAGAGCTCAACTTTAAAAGTCATGAAAAAGACTAAAAAATGAACAAAAACCAAAAAGAGGCCTGACTATAGAAAGCTACTATGGCGACAGGGAAGATCAAAAGACAAACTCAGAAGAGGACAACAATATCAAAATGCCTACATGTGAAGCCTCTATGTGATTGATACAAATTGGTCTAAAATCCCAAAAGCTTTCTTAGAAGAGCTAAAAAAGATTTTAAAAAATCAAGTAAGAGAGACATTACAAAAACTAGAAAAAGAAATGAGAGTTGTACAAGAGAGAGTCAACAGTGTGGTAAAGGAAGGAGAAAAAAATGACTGAAAAAAAAAATGACTCAAAAAAAATTCCTTAAAATATACAACTGGCCAAAGGGAAAAAAAAAATCCACTAAAGAAAAAAAATTCTTTAAAAAGTAGAATTGGTCATATAGAAAAGGAGGCACAAAAAGCTAAATGAAGAAAACAATTTGTTAAAAATTAGAATTGGGCAAATGGAAGCTAATGACTCCATGAGACATCAAGAATCAATCCAACAAAAATCAAAAGAATGAAAAAATAGAAGATAATGTGAAATATCTCATTGGAAAAACAGCTTATCTGGAAAAGATCCAGAAGAGATAATTTAAAAATTACTAGACTACCTGAAAGACATGATCAAAAAAAGAGCGTGGACAGCATCTTTCAAAAAAATATCAAGGAAGACTCTCTGATATTCTAGAACCAGGGGGTAAAATAGTCATTGAAAGAATCCACTGATCACCTCCTGAAAGAGATCCCAAAATGAAAACTCCAAGGAATATTGCAGCCAAATTCCAGAATTATCAGGTCAAGGAGAAAATACTTCAGAAAGAAACAATTTAAATATTAAGGAGACACAGTTAGGATTACACAGGATTTAGCAGCTTCTACATGAAATGATCAGAGGGCTTGGAATACGATATTCTGGAAGGCACAGGAGGTTGGATTACAATGAAGAATCAACTACCCAGCAAAACTGTGCGTTATCTTTCCAGAGAAAAGACAGACATTCAACGAAATAGAGGACTTTCAAATTTTCCTGAGGAAAAGATCAGAGCTCAACAGAAAATTTGATCTTCAAACATAAGACTCAAGAGAATAATAAAAAGGTAAATAAACACTTAAGAAAAAAAAATGTTATTCAATAAAGTTAAACTGTTTAGACCCCTACAGCCGAAGATGATATCTGTAATTCTTGAGAACTCTATCTCTGTTAGAAAGGAGGAAGAGGAAGAAGATGAGGGGGAGACAGAAAGAAAAGGAGAGGGGAAGGTGAGGAGAATGGGAGAGGAAGAAGGAGGTCCCCTACCAGTATAGTTTTGGTGTCTATTTATTCCTCTAACTCACTTAACTTCTCCTCTAAGAATCTGGTTGCTACATGACTTGGCACATATACGTTTAATATTAATATTGATATTACTTTAGTGTCTATGGTACCTTTTACCAAGCTGTAGATCTATTTCTGCTCCTGCTTTGTCTGACATCAGGATTGCTACCCCTGCTTTTTATTACTTCAGCTGAAGCATAATATACTCTGCTCCAGTCTTTTACCTTTACTCAGTGTGTGCCTCTCTATTTTAAATGTGTTTCTTCTAAACAACATATTGTAGGATTCTGGTTTTTAA